TAAGAGAGAGAAAAAATACCAGGATTCATAGTAGAAACATTACTTACTAGAGGGACCAACTATTCTAAAAATTCTCTGGCCACAGCACACAAATGAGAAAGACTCTTAATACATTTCTTTTGTTAAGCTGGAATGTTTTATAAGGCATCCTAGCAATCTTCAAATCAAAATATGTATCTGTGTTTGCTGTTGCTTGACAAGCTCAACAAAAGTTTACTTATCTTGACCAAAAATGATAACAAAACCAGGTTTGAATACTAGCTAGAATTCTGTAGATGGGCTCACACTTTCAATAAGTCACAAAGTGCTTTGCTGTGCTTTGGCTTAGCTTGCTGTAAAAAAAATGTGATTTATAAAGACTATCTTACTGATTAGCATGTTGGGCAAACTCAGCTTGCTGTACAGCCTGTAAATCTGGCTACATAGCTCATGATTTCATTTTCTCAACAAGCAGCATTATCTAGCCAACTCTGTCTTAATTTCTCAATTAATCGGGGGGGGGGGGGAGGCCCAGTTAGGAAAAGGGAGACTAGCAGAAAATTTCAGGCTGTGGGAAAATGGAAGCAAAAGTTGGAGGCCAATGGCAGATCGCTTCCATACTCTTGCTATGAAAATTGCAATGATTCCAAGGGGCTCAGCGTTGAGGACCTCTTGACCATTAATAAAGCCAGTTGCCATTAAACTAATTCATAATGATGGTTACGTGCTGTCACATTTCACAAGTAATGTAAAGCCCAGTCAAATTTCAAAGGATTTAAAAGCATCCTAATCAAAGTATCCTAATCAAAGTAACTTAATTTATTTCAGCCAGCATCAGCTTTATCTGCTAAGATGTATAACTTCAAGGAAAATTAATTAGTTTGCTTCTGCAGATGGGTTTTTTTTAATAGAACTTGGAAAGACTAAGCTAAAACACACTGCAAAAAAGGTAGTAGGCTTATTAGAGGAAGGGGTAGGGTAGGGGGGGGAACAGATGGAGGAAAAAAAATGTCGGGCACTCAGCACTTTCTCTAAACAACATTTCACTGCAATTAACTTGCTAAACTTAGTTGTTCCTCTTGTCCCTTTTTGCCAACTGAATATGCAGAACAGATTTCACAGAAAATTCAGAATTAAACATTCTGACTTCATCCAGGTTATTGAGAAACAGATTCTGCTTCCTCTAATTTGCAGGCCCCTTCAAAAAGAAATCTGTTTAAGTTTAAATTCAGAGAAGCACAAATAAGGCTGCAGACTAACAGGAGGCAAATTTTTAAAGAGAGACAGAATAAGAAAGAGAATCTACATTTTTTTTTTCCTGAACAGCCATTCACGGCCAATTTTGCCAGGCTCTCAGACCAGAAGACTACTTGCTAAATATTTGAGCTCCTGTCTTGCACAGAGATCAAGGTAAGATTAATTACTCAGGAAAGTGAAGATCAAGTATCACAGGAAACTGAGAGGCAAGTAAGTACCTGATTTATTTATGTGCACCTCAACAACAACAAAAAAAGACATTTCAAAGCTGTGTCTGGTTCCAGAAATGAAAACTTCTTGCTGGAATGAACATCCTTCGTCCCAAACAACAGCCAGCTATTTTGGCATCACAATATACAGCAGTGTTTACCTCAGGTAATTAGATATAGACTGCCCCTGTCCATTGAGGCTCCACACTGCTGACATGTCTATTAGCAATTAAGAGAAATTTAGCACCCTGGGTCATATTTTGCCTGCTTTTTTAAAAAAATAAACTATTAAAACTTCTATCCAGTACAAATTGGGATGGTTTATACTGAAATATTCTCTAAAATAACTCCATTTACTTTTCAACCTATTAAAAATCTTAATAAATAACACATTTGTACGTAAGAACAGATATAATGTGCTTCTAAAGGCTTCTGGAAATAAGTCATGCTTCAAGAAATTATCAGATCAGATTTCATAAATAGTCAAAGCTGGAAAAAGGCTTCAACAGAAGATGGAAAAAGGCAGCAAAAGAAAAGGATGTAAGCTCTTGCAGGTATTTCCCTCATCTTGCACCCCAAAATATAGCCAAATCAACTAATTTCACACACATCCTTTATGTAAACATGCCTGCAGTATGGTGAACATAAGTGACTGGAGAACCTAGAACTACTTTATATGAGAACCAAACTTTGCTTCCAATTCAATGCAACGCCATCAAGTCTGTCACTATATGACCATACGGCAAACGTGGGAGCAGGTTTTGTGCAAGAAAGTCTTTCATTAGTTTACTGTTAAACAGAAAAAATAGTCCATTGTGAGGCAATGCAGTGGTCCCCTCATGACCTTCATTCGCAAAAAGGACAACTGGCTTCACATAGCTCCAACAGACAATTGTCAGAAAAACTGCTGGGTGACAAAGCTGTCTGTGCAAGTGTGTCCATGTGTCCATAAAAAACAGATAGGCTAGCTCAGGTAGTAAAAAGTATCTTTGATGACTGGCCTCTCAGAGAAGAAGTATCCCTGCATGGCCTTACCTTCTATTGGAACCATGTTATGAGTGGATGGTCTCCCCGCAGGCAACCATTTTGTGAAAGCAGCCACAATGGATGCTCAGATTTTCAATACTCCCTTGGCTGAAAAGATAAAGCTCTATGAAGCATGCATATTTCATCCTGAAAGATCTTAGCTGATAATCCATTTCTCAGGTATTTCTAGTAAAGAAAAGAAGGTAGATCAACCCAACTGCTGGTGACTTCCTGAATCCATCAATGTTTTCTTACAAAAACATTGTGGACTTGTCCAGGGAGTCACCAGAAGTCAAAACTGATCTGAAGGCACACATGGACAAACAGTCTACCAGTGTCTTCTTTCAGGATTTGTCAAATTTCCCTTCTAAATGGATTTCTCTGGAGCTATCCCATCTAAGCGTTAACCAAATCTAACTCTCCTCAGCTTTTTCTTGACAGCAAGCAAAGTTGACCAAGAACATCTCTCCACTGTGATATACTGACTAAATTGTTTGATTAGAAACAGGGAGACTCAGGTTTAAATTCTCTCTAAATTTTGGAAACCTGCTGGAAGGCTTTGATCAAGTTATTGTCTCTCAATCATACATTACCCAGAAGTCCCAAAGAAAAGTTGGGATATAAATCTAACAAATATTTTAAAGTGTCAGCTCATTTGCAAGGACTGCAATCTCACTTTTAGACATTTTGGTACTTCTGATATGAAATATAGTCCTGATCTAATGAATCTCTAAGCAAGTCTTGATGTACAGTATACTGCTTTAGAACAATATGTGCTTATATAACTGAACTTCCCTATTTGCTCATTGTGTACAGTGTGTTTCTTGAACACAGGGATCTTAACTCTGCAAACACAGCTGTGATCAGCATTTAAACCTAGCTAATTAGTTTCAAACAGATTCATTATCACTAAAGTCCTTCCGTGGCCCTCCTTGCAAAACTGTTGTGTCAGCATCTTCAGATTTAAAAAAACTCATACGAGCTATTTTTAAATAGCAAACAAGTGCACAATCCTGTTCATAAGATAAGATAACCTTTACTGTCATTTTTTTTACTGTGGGCATGACGGCATACATCAAAAATGAAATTTAGTTGCCCGCTCTCAAAGTGAAACACATACACGGCACACACCTAAACATACTATATACAACATATGTATAGACCCACACCCCTACATATAAATAAAAAATAAATATTAAATACTGTCCATCTTGAATATATAACAGTAGGAGGAAGCTTGAGAGTTCACAAGGTTAATGGTAAGAAAATCAAGTCTGGGATGTCAAGAGAGTTCACACGGACATGTTCTTGCAGCACCTCTTGATGTAACCCTAGCTAGTTTTCAAACTATAGAGCAGCCTAGTGTGTAGATCTGAAGATCAAGCTCTGGGCAGGTCAGAAAGCTGGTTAACATACTTTGGCAATAGAGGATTCTACAGAACATATAATATCTATCAGCTACCCAAAGTAACTCCGCAGAATTAATTTCAAAGGGAAATAAGAGAGACACAGAATGGAAAAAAATACAGGAAATGTTTATATCACTGGAAATAGCCATCAACATGGAAAAACATATGTAAAGGGCTTGAGGTTGGAGCAATTCCACACCTCATGTTGACTGAGGTTACAGCTTTTGTAGGAAAGAAAAATAAATGAGACCAGTGAAAACAGTGATCTTTTGGACAGATCAACAGATCCACTTCCCCAAAGTGCTGAACACCTGAGACAAGATAATTGCCTCTGCAAAATATATGACCACACATTTTAGCAGATCCCCTAAATTGTCTTTCAGGCCATATTCATCAGGGTAAAAAAAAAACAAAAGAAAACATTAAATTTTGAGATAGACAGGAAGAGTTTCATGAGTGAGAAAGTATAAAAGAGCCTCTGCTTTTCAATCCAAATAGCCAATGAGACACACAGAGTCCAAATGAGCAACTCCAGTTAAAGCAAGAAAAGATGCAGCAGATTACACTGTGATTCAGAGCCATTTTATTTAAAAGAAATTAATGGGGCGTGCACTTGGTCTGAGGCATGAATATGAATTCCTGAACATTTAAGAAAACTCACAATGCAATCCTGCACACCTTTTGCTCAACAATGACTGTGTCCTTGGCCGCCCCTTTTAAAAAAAAAAACCAGGTATCACAGGTGAAATCCCCAATTGATGGAAGCCACCCTAGTTCTGTACTGTAGCAAATGAACTGAAATAGTATGTCCACTTACCTACCCGCCAAAGCCACAAACTTACAATGTTGCACCTGTTTTTTCAGCTTACAATTGAACAATTGTACCAAGAATCAGGAAGGTCAAATAAATAATTAATTGCATACCTAACAGGACTATCTATGAAGGAGCTGTGATTTAGCTGGAGCATATTTTTTTAAAAAAGACAGAAATGAAACAAGGAGGGGAGCGAGATGGAGAATTGCCTGGAACATTTGCAAGGCATTAATCTGTCACTGCTACCCTAGCCAAGTGTGCGAAAGAGAAGGAAAGCAATGAGAGAGGCCAAGTGCCTTCACTTACTTTTCATACTCGGCGTTGTCCCTATCACACCGAGAATCCTTGTGCTTCTGCCAATCTTTGCCATGCTTGCAGGTAGTCAACAGGACAACATCTTCCCCATTATGGACATGATATAAGGCATTCCTGGTGTCTGATCCTATCCCAGTTAGGTACCTTTTCCCCTTGAATACCAACATATACTTCCTCAGAGGGGGGATGGTGTTAAACCTCAAGAAGCCTCTCTCTCCTCCTGTCCTTGGGTGATCCTTAGAAAAAAGAGGGATGGAGACGTCAAACTTTGGCCGGAAGTTTTCCGTACTGATGCTGGCTTTGGCCAACATGGCCTGGCCAATGTCGAAACCCACGTCCTCAGTGTAGTCAGGCCAGGTGCCGGAATATAAGTTAAAAACTAAGTGATTCCTCCCATTGTTCCACAAATGGAGGCTTTGCACTTTGGAGCGCAGGTTGTGCACGTACTGGGGAGAAAGCTGGTCTCGGTCTAAGGTGTCCAAGCTGAGGACGAAGAGGCAAGCTTGGCTGGGGTCCGAAGTATAAAAGCGGGAACCTTCGATGGCCGCCAGGATGTTTTGGTAACTCTCGGCGATCTTCTCCCCTTTCTGTTGGGGGTAGACGTAGACCTTGAAGCCGTTTTTTTTGCAAAGGGCGAAGTCGAAGCAGGACTCCATGCGGCACTTCTTGCCCTTGTAGACGCCGGTGTTGGCGTCGCGCTTCTGGCGTGGGGAAGCGTGCCGGTTGTAATCCTGGCTCTCCAGCTGATCCCAAGGCAGGAAAGGGCGCAGGGCGTCTGGGAATCGGGGCCAGTAGCGTTCGTGGCGCTGCAAGCCATTCTTGCTGCTGCTGCTGCTACTGCTGCGCGCCTCTCGCCTGCTTTGGCTTCTGGATGCTCTGAACTGCAAGCCGCCGAAGTAGAAGAGCAGGACGACGAAAGTGCCAGCCGAGAGCAGGGTGAAGTAGCGTTTTTTGGCCTGCATGTGTCCTATCTGGGTCAAGAGGATCGTCAATAAACACAAAGCTCGCCCAACTTTGCCAACTGACACTTTCAGCTTGAGTCCGCCATTTTCCCGCCTGCCAAGACTTTAAACTCTCTTCTCCCACCTTCTCTCGATTCCTTTCCCAAAGGCTCGGACTGATGCAGCGCATGTGGGCGATTTCGTTAACTTTCTCCCCTCTTGTCTTTCATCTTTGGCTCGCCCTTAGGAGGAAAGGGGGGCTGGGGGAGAATGAAGAGGGACGGAGGGAGCGAGGGCAAGAGGAGCGAGGCCGGGAGGAAAAGGGTTCGGAAAGGCAGGAACAAGAAGGGAGAAAAGAAGGCAAGCGCGAGAAAACCGGGGCAAAAAGAGAGCTGAGCCCGCCCAGCGTGGCTTTCCAAAAGAGGCTGGGAAATTGGCTCGCAATGCAAAGAGGAGGAAGAGAAGACAAAGACAGCGGCGGCTCTGAACCTAAAAAGAAGCCGCCGAGTCCCGGGCTCCGGCTCTCCAATCTGCGGGTGCCAGACCGAGAAATCCGTCCCGCCCTCTTCTCTCTCGCATGCACACCCGTACACACTCACACACACACAACCGCACGCACAAGGGGCTCGGAGTGTTTAAGAGCAGGAAGAGCAACTTCAACTCGGGCAAAACATCCCTGGAAGAGAACAAAACAAACAACAACAACAGCGAGGAAGGAGGAAGCCAGCCAGCCAAGCCAGCCAAGTCCGCTAGCCCGGCGCCCGGCTTTTCCGAACAAGTCGGCACGAGCGGCAGCGATAATCTGTATGCAGCTTGCCTGGGCTCGCTAGAGATAGCACCGCCGGGATTACATCTTCCGGCCCGAGCACCGTAACCTTACGAATCCCTGCATTTCTCTTTCTCTCTCTCTTTTCGGTGTGTTTAGCACCGGCTGCAAGGCATGATGACGAGCGGGGCTTCCGCACGCTTTCCTGCGATCTCGCTGCCTGGATGGCCCCAGGGATGGAAGCGACGAAAAGATCCTCCTCCTCCTTCCTTCTTCGCCGCCGCGGCTGCCCGCTCCTGCCGCCGCCGCCTCCTCCTCCTTTTAGCCCCCGCCCCTCTCAGCCATTCATTTCAGTGAGCGGCGATCCACGCAAGCCCGGGAAACAGCCGAAGTGAAGGTGGGGAGGGGGAGGACGCCTCCTTCTCCTCTTGCGACGTTGCCCGATCGCCGCGTTCGATCTCCGAATGTTACCCGGTTCTGAATGTTACACTTGCAACATTCCATTCCCCGACACCACAGCGGTGACCTCATCCATCCACGCAGCCCGCCGGCCGATTGGCTGGGCGTCACGTCCGGAGGGGGCGGTGCTTCCGCTGCACCCATTCATAACCCGCCAGGCGGGGAAGACAGCTTTGCAGTGTCTTCAGCGAGCGAGCGAGGCGGAAGGGTTGTCCCCCTTCAGCCCTTTAGGTAGGGACGGGCAGATTTCCCTTCCTCCCCTCCCCTTCCAGCGGGGAGGCCGCGGGGGAGGGGGCTGTCCCCGTGTAAAGCTAGTCCCGCACGCGCCCCCCTCTGGCGCTGAGCGGTGGGCGGATCATTCGAGTTAAGAAGCATGTCTGAACGAGGGATCCGAGAGTGCCCCCCCCCAAACACACACACACATATACACACAAAGGAGCGCTGGCAGCTCCCGGTTTTGGCAGCCTCCGTGTCGCTACGGGATAACTGGCGGATCCTTTGTCCGGGGCGGTGGAAGGCTCCGTGTGAAAAGGCTTCCGCTTTGCCTTAAGGGCAACCGACGGAGATGCCGGCACAGAAAGGGCGTTGCAAGGCGCCCGCGATGTCAGGCGGTCCGCTAGAAGACAAAACTCTTCCCGTGCTCCGGGAACGGCTTCAGGGTTGTTAAGCTCGGGTTGCGGAGTTTTTTCTCCGTCCGATGAGTAGCCCGCTTAGAAGGAATGGGATCCTAGATCCCGCAAGTGAGTTCGTGGGCTCAGCCTCCCAGCCTCTTCGTAATCCGCGAGGGGAAAGGGACAGACCGGCATCTAGTACGAACGCCACGAAACGAGGAAGGAGGAGATGTAAGGAAGGGAAATAAATCCAACCGAGTTCCTTCGAAGAAGAGTCTTGCGTGCCTTGTGGGTTAGTTTTAGAACCGGACCCTCTCCCCCCCCCCCCGGTTGCTGCTCTATAGAGTAGCAACTTTCGGGTCCCCGCTTCACCTTCCTTGGCTCCCTTTTTCTTGCACCGAGTTGTTCTATTGCAAAAGAGCAATTGAGGAGGGCACCGCAACTTTTAAGCAGACCAGCTTAAAGGGGGGGGGCATACAAAATAGAGTGGAAGAGTGGGAGCTGCTAACCTGAGACGTGAAACTTTTTGGAGACTGGAGAAAGAGAAGCAAAAGTACTCCTAGTTTTCTGGAGGGCCAGGTTTCTATGAATGCCCTCTAGAGCAGGCTCATGGCATTGCTGCCTGGTAAAATCTGGGATGACAGAGTAACTTTTTAGTCACAAGGATGGGAAGGCTGCAGAATCGCTCTTCCCCTTTTAAGCAGGCCTGTTGTACAGTGGAGCCAAGACAACACAACAAAAATAAAATATTCTCACTCCGGAATGTTTTCCTCCCATATATTAAGGCACATTCTGATTTAACTTTTAACAGGTTTGTTAGTGGAACCAATTTGCTAGATAGATACCACATTTTCTTTTTCATTGGATAGGTTGAAGCAAAGACTTGAGGATACTTCAGTTTGAATACCTGAACAGAGCAAAGCGTTGAGTTCAAATGCCTTTAAAGGCCCCTTCTCAATTATTTGAATCCACTCTTATTTTTTTCCCCTTTAACCATTTCTCCTTTACACTAGAAAGTCATTTGTGCTTTAATAATTGGCCAACATAAATATTGGAGGCTTGCAAACCATCCAGATAATTTACCCTCTGTCGTTTCTTAATAAGTATATATGTAACTACAAAGCAAAAAGAAAATAGGCCAAGATTATTGATACTCATCCCCAAATATTAAGGGGAAGAATACAATGCTGTCTCCCATCTCAAATTGCTTTTGTGTAAAATGGTTGTAGAGACTGATAAATTTAGTGTGCCAGCTCATGGATTCCTGTGTCATGCAGACCCAGAAGATTGGCTTGTATAAACCATGATTTGGTTAATCATAGGTGTAGTATGCAGTGTTGCTTATCCAATTTCTAGGCTGCCCAATTCCAAAAATGACTGGATGGTTTCTCAAAGTTAAGAAAAGTAGCATATAAGAATATTAACAATCTGAAGAACAATATACAGTATATTTCCACATCACACCTCGCCCAAAATATCCTAGAGAAAAAAAAAACGGTTTATAAAAGTTTGTTGAATGCAGGCCAGGAGTATCTTATATCCATGCATGCATCCTTTGTTTCCACATGCCCACTTTTGAATCTTCAATCCGGATCAAATTTCATGGAAGACAACTCTAATGAAGCCTGTATATCCACAAAGGAAAAATGCAGACATAGGTTACATTGTCTGGTTCCCTTTTACACACTCAGCAGTTAAGGAGAGGTGAAAGTGGAAAGTAAGTGGGTAGGGCAGCCTATATCGTTCCTAGTTCATTTTGTATTGAATCATTTGCTGGAGTTCTTTACCTGTGGATAGTACAAGGATTAGATGTTTTGAGTTACTTTGGGACTTCCTTGGTCTTTTATAACTTGATGAGAGATTTTTTTAATTATATTTTTTATTGCTTGAAAAAATATTTAAGAAAAATGTTTAAATGAGGTACAGGTAGTCCTTGAGTTATGACCATATATTTGACCCTCAAAATTATAGTAATAGTAGTAAAGTTGGAAGGGACCTTGGAGGTCATCTAGTCCAACCCCCTGCTCAGGCAGGAAACCCTACACCGTTTCGGACAAATGGCTGTCCAGTCTCTTCTTAAAAACTTCCAGTGTTGGAGCATTTACTGCTTCTGGAGGCAAGCTGTTCCACTGATTAATTGTTCTCACTGTCAGGAAGTTTCTCCTTAGTTCTAGGTTGCTTCTCTCCTTGATTAGTTTCCACCCGTTGCTTCTTGTCTTGCCTTCAGGTGCTTTGGAAAATAGCTTAATTCCCTCTTCTTTATGGCAGCCCCTGAGATATTGGAATACTGCTATCATGTCCCCCCTTGTCCATGCTGATTGTAAAGTGGGTCACCACATGACTAGACCTGACTTTATAACCTTTTTCTGTTTTTTGCAGAGATTAAGCACACCATCATTAAGCGAGCCCATTATTTGCTACAGGTGATTTTTGCCAGAAATTCCAACAAAAATGTAAATTGTGGTCGCATGACCCCAGGGCACTGCAAACAGCTCTAAATGTGGTCCAGTTGCCAAGCACCCAAAAATATGGTCACATGACCATGGGGAATGCCAGCATCATAACTTTGAAACTGAGTCCTAAGTGGCTATAAGGGGGCCAGGGTAGCTAAGCAAACAGTTGTCAGTCCAGAACTACCTCTAATTTAAAGAGAGGTAGATGGCCAGGGGCATAATGGCTCAGCAGTTTAAGATGCTGAGCTTGTCAGCTGGAGAACTGACAGCCTGGATTCGAAACCCGAGCTCTGCACAAGAGGGTAAGCTCCCATTACTTCCCCTCGCTCCTGTCCACCTAGCAATTCGAAAGCATGCAAATGCAAGTAGATGAATAGGTACCACTTTGGTGGGAAGGTAACAGCATTCCATGCACCTTTGGCATACAGCCATACTGGCCACATAACCACGGAAGTTATCTTCAGACAACACTGGCTCCTTTGTCCAAGAAACGGAGATGAGTGCCGTATTCTAGAGCAGTACTCTTGGCAACTTTAAGACTTGTGGACTTCAACTCCCAGAATTCCTCAGCCAGCTTTGCCAAGTTGTCAGTTTTTTGCAACTTTGCCATTTGCCAAGGTTGAAGACTCCTGCTCTAGAGAACGACACAACTGACAAGGAAATTTTTACCTTTAGATGGCAGCTACAAATATATATCCAAAAAAAAAAAAACCCCTTGCCTGGAATCTAGCTTATATCTTCATTGCCAACTCAAGCACTTTTCTGTTGTCCCATTGCGGTTTTTGTTTTTGTTTTGGGTTTTGTTTTGTTTTTTTGGTCAAACTTTGGATTGCTTTAATTAGCTGCTCTTTGATGTTGAAATCTAATGCTGTAAATTGCACAGTCATAAAGTACAATAAAGGAATAAAGAGAAAATGGTGAAGATGCTTTAGTTGACCAATAAACTGAGCTGATAAGAAGTGAGAAAAACCAGAGCCTGCAGGGAGAGGAAATGGTGATTATTGCTCATAGATATTGATGCTGGAGGGCTGATGTCTTCTTAGTACAATACCTTACAGAACTCAGATAAAGCAGTGGTTATGTCAAGCTACATTCCAGACATCTCTGTCTAGTGTCCAATACCTGCAAAAGAAAAAAGAAAAAAAAATAGTCACATCAGTTTATCAAAAAGAAAAAAAAATACTTTGATATCTTTTAGATATCAAAGACACTTTGATATCTTTCTGGCTCTACTTTATAGTCAGAAAGAAAGCAAAAAGCAAATCCCTTTTTGCACAGATTAGGAGAATGGCCTTCCTTAGGCTCACAAATTAGCCTTTGTATTATACTCTGAAATAAGAAATTTGAGCAGCAGAAGTTAGGTTTTTCCCAGGTATGGGATACTCTCTGAACACCCTTTAACTGCTGAAGTTGTGGGCATCTGTTCAGAATCCCAGGGAAGGATGGTTTACAAAATTAATAGCAATAGCACTTAGGTTTATATACCGCTTCATAGTATTTTACAGCCCTCTCTAAATGGTTTACAGAGTCAGCCTATGGCCCCCAGCAGTCTGTGTCCTCATTTTACCAACCTTGGAAGGATGGAAGGGTCCGTCAACCTTGAGCCGTTCAGAATCAAACAGCAGAATTAATTAAATTAACTCAACTGGCTGCATTTATAATAACCGAGTGGATCCTAATAATGGTTTCATTTGAACAGCATGTCCAGTCACAAATAAGCCAACCAATCTTTATTAATTTTAACATTGGTATTTATTGTTATAATGTTTTCTAATGTTGTTTTTGTCATAAAGGACGCTTAGAGTTGCTTGTAGCAAGATGGGTGGCATAAATATAATTTATAAATTTAAACAAAATAACCCATGTTTCAGCCCAGTTTGTTGATGAACCTTACCTTATACAAAAGTTACCAAAGCATATTTATTTATTTATTTATTTATGAGACTTATATACCGTTTTAAGTGCAAGCACTCTCTAAGCGGTGTATACCAGTAAGCAATGTATATATATATTTACATTGCCCCCA